AAGAAAATAACTAGAGTACATATATTATAGAGATACATGACTCTAATTCTAAAATATTAACATCTCACTATAGGCAAAACCTAATATGTAAGTAGTGGGCCTTTGTCTATACATATTAACTAAAATGCAGATTATAAAAATTATACAATAAAAAGTAAGATATTGCAGGCTTTGCCAAGTTTATCTTGAGAATAAAGAACAAGAAGTAGGTTAATAAGGGATAGTATTTACTTTAAGGTCCCAAAGCTATGATGTGATATAAGCACTAGGAATACCAGTTCCTCAGAATAGATGTAATGGTTGCTTATTGTTGAAGGTACATGGTTGCAGAGGGTTAAAATGGGTAACTTAAGTAGACAGTTTGTAGGTACAACAACTAGTGTAGAACCTAGTAATAGACAGTTTACTTAAATAAATATCCAAAAGATACCGGTATAGCTAGCTTGTACTCTCCAAATATGTATAATGACTTAGCTACACAATAAAAAGCGCACTTGAACAAAGAGTCCACCTTAATACCAAAATATAATAAATTGCTTAACATAATAAACAAATTTTAAATAATATTAGTTAAGAAAACCAGGTTATTTACTTCATATTAAAGTTGTTGCTAATACTGTTAGTCGCCAAGTCTTACAGTTGTTAGCATTAAATAATATATGGCATTAATTAATGGATATTTTTCAAACACTTCTCAAACTTCCTGATAAAACAGTAATAATTATTGCTAATAATATTTAGCAAAATTTATTAAATATATTATAAAATTGTTAATTTATAAACAATTTCAATTTATATACTACGTTATATATATAGCTACAGTGATATTCCAAATCCTGACTATAAATTAACTTTTGAAATTTCAACAAAATATTTTTGTAAAATTTTAAACCTTTTCTAATCTAAAGCTAATTCTTACTTTGATCCAATTTTTGTTTTCACTCTATAATAATCCAATAAATCCATTCCGAAGTACGACACAGTAGAAATTGTTGAATGTAGAAATTTATTATAATTTCACCTCATCTATAGTTTGGCCAATGCATGTGCAAAACCGGTCCACTAGTCCACGTCAATTTACACGTGCCTATATATTGTATTTCCAGAATGCTTTTCTTATAGGAAAAAACAATCTAGTTAATAATCAATTAGATAATCCTAATAGTGTTATCATGATGTATACTCAGCAAGTTTTAAACATTTGGTGTATAAATAAAGCTTGTTGCCAAGTTTATCGCAATCTCTTCCATACTCAGCAATATATGTATATAATATAAGAACGAAGGGACAAATGAAAGTTCACGAATTAAAGAAAAAAAATTTACGGATTTTTATTTGTCAAAACATAATTTTTTGAAATTATTGATGGCTAAGCGTGACAAATATCTTCGCAAAATTTCTTGGCAATTATTCACAACTGACAATCGATATAATAAACAGATATAAACTATTACACCAACTTGAATGAGCGATTTAATTTAGTAATTAAACCTTGTAACATCCATCATGATAATCAAGTGTTAAAATTTCGGGGTATGTTCTTATATCCATTGAACACCTTCATTCACAAGAACGACCCTACTTAGTAACAATCACTAATTCGAACCCAAATATTACTATACTAATAAATTATCAAGGAAGATAGCATGTGAAACCTGCTTGGGAAGACTGTTGTATCGCAAATAATCCTATAAATCAACTGTTGGAGTAAAACCTTATGCTTGCGGGAGACTTCAATCAGATACGGATGTGACAAACAAAATCACTTGTAAAATATGAAATGAGTCACTAAAGTTTTATTTTGGATCTTTATTTTGTTAGAGATAACATTTGTTGTCAATGACTTTGTAAATTCAGGCATGTTACACAATATATCGTGTTACATAATTATGAACCATATCTGAGCAAAATTTATACATACTGAGCACGGAAAATCATGGCTAAGCATAAGGCTGAGCATGGGATTTCATAGCTAAATACAAGACTGAGTACAAAACTTAAAGTATAAGCACAAAAATAAAACTGTACGTACGTACGTACTTCCATAACATCTCAACAGTTTTGGAGGTGAATGACTATTTAGATGTGCAACTAGTGTTAATCATGAACATGCGAATCCACCCGTATTCAAACAAATAAGTACTAATTTGCCGCGAAAATTGTTTATATGTTCATTTTACATATAGTAATACGAACAATTATATATAGAATCTCCGCTTCTCATATGATGCAGAGGCCACATCTTTTTTACAAAGTGCAATTAAAAATTGTCTTAGAATCTCGAATTTCGTAATGATCTAATTTCTCAAAAAAAAAAAAAAAAAAAAAAAAAAAAAAAAAAAAAAACTAGTCAAATTCGGGGACGAAACTTTCATTTAACATAATCCCCCTATATTTTGAAATTCGCATGATACAATACACACTATATTAGTTAATCAGATTTCAGCATTAGTTACAACGTATGTTTGCACTATAGTCGCACTATATTAGCTAATAAGATTTCAGCATTAGTTACAACGTATGTTTGCACTATAGTTAGCTAATAAAAACCGCAGTATTTTTTTAATTTATGCCTTTTCTTTTTAATGACCCATATCCTATTACAAAATCAAGCAGTTCTGGCTTAAGGCCCAAATTCCACAAATCTGTCGAAATATGAATTTAGTATGAAACCTTAAACTAAGAAATTCCGCATTTGGGAACAGATGGAGGTACACACGGACTTTTAAAAAAACTGTCCGAAAATGTGTCACAAAATTTTTGTTGGTCACGGTCAAATGTTTCGTTTACTTAGGTGACAAAGTGTATAAACATAGTAATACCAGTAGACAAAATTGAGTTACAAATGATTTTTGGTTTTCTGCCTCTTTTTTTTACGCCACGTTGATTTTGGAATTTGATTGGTTAATGAAATTTTTAACTTGTTCTCTGGTCCCAAATATGGGGGACGCTTAAAGCCGGGTCCATTATGAATTTAAATTAACGTTAAGGTTAGGGTCAGTTTAGGGCCTGTATGGGCTAATATTAAAAGATTTCTATATGTAAAATCGTCCCCTCGACATTTTTTCTTAATGTACCAAGTTAGGTTTAGACATTGGTTTCTTGTATTTTTCGTATTTTTTACTTTTTTTGCTTCGTCGGGCTGATCCATGTAAACAAAAAAATTGGAGATTTTGATTGGTCGTGTATAACGGAAGATCTCGTGATGGACCTGGCTTTAAGCGACCCCCAAATATGGAAATGATTTCGGAATGACTCACATGATTAATGACCAATCATATCATAAGTTATCTGCGAATCAGCTACAGTAATCAGATTACAAAAAAAAAGTGTGGGCTTCACGGGATTTAAAAAATGTTATAAGGCGAACTAAGAGTATCAATTCGACCATAATATTTTATTCGCATCTTTGGAAAGTTAAGCTACCCGAAATTACTAAACAAAAAATAAGGTATTGTAAACCGTAAAAAAAACTATCGGAATTATTTCCATATTAGGTGGTCTTCTAAGCGGAGATAAATCATGTGACTATTGACCAATCAAATTATAGAACTTTGATGATCGCCGACGAAGCAAAATAACGAAAAACCTGAAAAATACAAAAAACGGCAGTCTTAACCTATCTTGGGTAGGTTAAGCAAAAATGTCAGAAAGGCAATTTTGCATATATATAACTGCCTAAAACCTAACCTAACCCTAATTTAGGATAAGGATAACCCTAACCCTAAAGTTAATTCAATAAATATTAATTATATAACTTATCTCCGCCCAAATATGGGGGATGACTAGAGATGTACATCTCACGAGATGAGCCTAATATATATTTTGCATGTCACACGCGAGATCATATCGTGCGATCGTGCGATTTCTCGCGAGATATGTGACAAAAATTCTGAATAATAAACAATAAATCCCGATTAATTTATCTCGCGAGAAATATGAATCATCTCGCGAAAGTCATGCGATATCACAGGTGCGAGATTCTGTGATCTCGCGAGATGTACATCTCTAGGGATGACTAAAGCCATGTATGTACCCACGTGATTTTCGAAGTTTTAATTAAAATCAAGGTTTAGTCATTAGGGTAGGTTTAGAACTAGGTCAAGTATATATGAGTGCGTGAGAGTGAAAACCTGAAAACCGATTTAATGATTTACTATGATCGGTTTCCAGGTCTTCACTCTCACGCACTCATATGAAAGATTGCCTTCACGACATTTTTTGTTAATTCCCCAAGAAAGGTTTAAACTGCCGTTTTTCATATTTTTGCGGTTTCTTTATTTTTTTTTGACTTCGAACTGATTTGTGTAAACAAAATTTCGCGATTCCGGTTGGTTTCTTTACACAAAAAATGTCATGTGGGTACATGGCTTTAGACGATCCCATATTTGGACAGTCCCTCCTGGAATGCAAGGCCAATATTATGGCAACAATACTAGTTGCTCGAGGCGTTGCGGTAGCGAAAAGTCATCTGTTTTAGTAAGCTTAGTCGGATGCAACCAATAAAAAATGATAATCGAAAGTTCCCGCGATCTGCAGGCAGTGTAACAATACTTAAGCTTCGGACCTTCATCAGATTCTGATTTTCTAATACTAATAAACGTTTTATGATTGTAAAAAATAGGGAGCACATAATATATAGTTGTAAAGCCGCATAGCTATCGAATTTGAAACCACTAAGATCTGAAGATATAGATGTGATAATTTGAAAAGTTTTATCCGTATAGAATATTCGGATTTAAATTCTAAAGATCCTTTTATTGATAAAATAATCATACAAAAATATAAATAATACAATTTTTATTTTGTTACATTAAAGCATATTGAATTTTTTTTAATGAGACTTAGAAAAGAATCTTATTTTAAAATGCGAAGCCACAAGAAATCATTTTATACGAAAATTATATAATGAATCTTAAAGAAGTACCGTAGTTTAAAGTATAAGTTTTCATCATTTAATCATAACATAGCCAATAGGACTACGAAGATCATTTGGAATATCATTCAGAGATTTTGCTATCGGATACCTCTTATGAATATTTAAAAAAAGAGGATGATTTGGAGGATCAGAATATTGAATACTTGCGAACATAGGTTTTGGGTGCACAAACACATCCCACCTATTGCCAGTGAATGTACGACTATTTTGACCCAAAGGCAATGTATTATAGGATCTATATGTCCAATCATTCTCGGTTGCGCTATTAACAATAAAATCAGGATTGTTTTTTGTGATAATAGCATAATTAACCTCAAATAATAATGTATTACAAATTAGATCTGTTTGAAGATCATAATGATAGCATTGTAATTGTGTAATATCATCATTACGTTGACGAAAATGATAACTAATGACATCTTTTGATCTTCCGAAATTATACCCAGGAATATCCCTACATTTTAATATAGGAGTTCCAATAATACAGTAATCATCATTTTTCAAATTTGGATGATCGATTTGATTATCGCCGTCGTATTGATATCTTCTAGTGTAAATATGGTCAATTGAGTTATCTTGAAATTTTCCAATTGGCAGGTCTTCCTCGTAACCGATCAGCATATAAGGGATTAAGAGATTAAAAGGCTTTTTTGGTTTACCAATACGATGTATTACAACGTATGGGTTCTCATCATCCATATATTCGACCCTAATTACGAACACGTTACGATATGGTTTGGTTTTGTTCAATACAATTACGGAGGTAAAAATCTTAACATTATTAAATGTCGAAATGATTTGCGGTTTTGGTATATGATGAATTGCAATGGTCTGGCCTCTTGGTATATGAACGGATAGGCTATTGCAATATAATTGTTTCATTCCATTAATCTCCTTTATCCTTGGAATAAGCCTCTCTGGCAATAACATATATAATGGTATTAAATCCCTTTGACCAATAATTCTCCAATTTGTAAAATGTTTTAATTTTTCCAGCTCTTTAGTATAGGTTGTTTCGGGTTCTTCACCATATTGAAATTTCCCACCCAAAACAACCTCCTTTGGCCTGTCCGTTATTAAAAATTGTTAGATTAAGTAGAATAAAGTGATTTGATATATAAAAATGCATACTGACCAGAAAAACCCATACGCATTACCCACTTTATAAAGAGCTTTTTTTCTATCTTCATGTATATCTTCATTTAAGGCATCTTCAATAGCTTCAATGTATTCTTCGGTCGCTTCTAAATCTCCCGGTAATAATCTAATTGTGCCTTTTTCACAACAAAGAAACTTTCCGTTATTATCTTCAATTTCTTCAAGGTTTTGATGGGTTATAACCATCATTAAATGCAAATTCTTAATCCGGAATGCACTTTTATTTGCTTGAACAGTAGCATCATCTTTTGTTTTATACCCCCTAGTTAGATTAAGGTTCCTCACAATTTCAGGAAAACCGGGTTTTGTCAAGTCTTTTTCAATAAAGAATGAAAAAGACCTATCAGCTTCACCTGTTCCATCGGTTGGAACTAAGATATCCTTTAATTTATATTCATTTTCATCAACGAATGGTATTTTATATTCAAATCTATTTCGAAAATTTGAGTTTTGTCGACCAATTAACACTAAATCATTTCGAGTTAAATATTCCCGTACTTTGTCTAATGAAGTTGAAGTATCAATCTCCGTTAAAACCAAATTAAATTCATTAACAATCCTATTCTCAGCAACCACAACACCCCTCACAGTGAGTGGGTTAATTTTATATGCGGCCTTAAGAAATTGCATCTTTGATAAATATTAAAACAGTGTAGATTTAATGTTCTTAAATATTCAAGAGAGCATGAAGATGCGGCTTTCAACACGGTTGTGTTAACGTTAAATATAATTAAAATTTTCCAATAAAAAATAACGTTATCAATGTTTGGTCAAATGATAAAAACAAAAACAAAACAGTATTAATTTGGATCGTTGTAACCCACCCTAAAAAATAGGGTCAATTAAATGACATAATTATACCAAAATATAATAATATAACTCATTTCATTTACGAGTATTCCTGTATCCTACGGACTCTATTCTAATTTTTTCCGTTCGCCTATCTTTGACTACGTCAATTAAATTCACCAATATGCCGCAGTATATGTTATACCAGTATATAGAAAGATTGGTCAAAGAAAGAACAATCCGTTTGATAGATTATGACGAATTCAATCAAATACAAGACAGCTTTGACGAAAAAAATGATATAAAGAAGAGATTATGGAACAATGAACTAGTAAATTTATGCCTGTTAGAAGATTTAGATAGATGTGACAACACTATCGTTGCGAGGCTATTAAGCGAGGTAAATAAATGCAACATACGCATTGAAAAATTTCACCGAAACTAATTATTTATTTTCTTAGCTTAAACCATTTAAACACAATAATGTGCTAAGAGTTTTTGGCCTCACTTTTGGTTTGTACATCATTAATAAAGCGGAGATAAACAGATGTTTTATGTGGGTGTAAGATATCGGCAGGAATAGCGCATTTATTTATTAAAATACCGCATCGAAAATCAGTTTTTAAAAGAATAGATTTAAATATTATTTTTTCTTGTTAATGAATTTAAGCGAGATAATCTTTTTCAAACATTAACTTTCAAAGCAACGCCATATGCAAATGACTAGGAAATTCTAGTGCAAATTTGGTTAACTGATAATTCCGGCATAAAATCCGAAGTCTTGACCTTGAAACACTAACTGCGAAAAAAATATCTATTCATTTCAGGTCACGCAATTCATTGTTTATGTTTCTTTTTGATATATTTGAATCAAAACCAATATTTTGATGGCAAGGAAATGAGTTTTTTTTTTCTGAATACAAATTGTTGAGATTACAGTTTTAGCAATATTTCCCCTCTATGACCTTTACTTCTAACATCTTGATCTAAATATTAAAATTTTATATTTCAATTTTAAGCTTGTAATGCGCTATTGTTATTATCCTACCCACATAAAACATTGTATCAGAAATAATTTTATTTCTGTACATAAATAAGTTCATAACCTTTTAATTAATATTTAATGTTAGATGGAAAAAATTATTATTTTGTCCGTGAATATTATACCATGGACTTACGATCTTATTTCGGCCAAATGCGTGCTAACGGCATTCCTCTAAGTTGGAACGACAAAATAGCTCTAGTACGACAAATGGTTGATGGCCTCCAGTATCTTCATAATCAAAATATCATACTCTCAGAGCTAGTAAGATTTAACAGTTTTATATGCTTATTATGTATAACGATTGACAAAAATAACATATTTGAATGCTTAGCATCCGAAAAACATTGTAATGTGTGAAGGAATTCCTAAATTCACTAATCTTAGAATGCCTCAAGTCCGTTCAAAAGAAGAATTTGCATTTTCAAAATATTCTCCTCCAGAAGTTTTATTATTGCACGGAATTGAAAATAAAACAAAATTAAATATTTATTCCTTGGGCGTATTAATGTGGGAAGTATCGAATGACGGTATCGAGCCTTTCAACGATAATCGTTCAATTGCCTTAGCAATTAACATTATCAAAGGTACTCGAGAATCACCCGTCAAAGGAACACCACGTAAATTTATAGAACTTTACAAAAGATGTTGGGATAACGATCCTGGTAAAATTTAAATTAATATATTTATTATTTATTCTTTAATAAAAATTATAAATTAAAATCTCATTTAATTTTTTAACTAGCCGCTCGGCCCACTTGTGCAAGAATTCTTGATGAATTGAACAACATATCACTCACAGACATATATGAAGTTGATAGAGCTTATAATACTTCAAATTTCCAGGCGCTTACCCCTAAACCTAAATCAATCGACCTAGAATTGTCGTTGGATTATGGCACTTTGCTTAAGCAAAAGAAAATGAAAACAGAATTTGTTAGCATTTTTGGCTTAAACAGAGGCAGAAATCTTAATGGATTTGATTTCAATCGCGCAGAAGGAATAATTTTGAATGATAATGGCGATGCAAAAGTTCTTAAATCAGAGTTGAGCACCCCAGGTGTCTATCACTCATTAAGTACGGATTCAATTTGGAATAATTTAAGAAATACAAGTTTATTTGCAGCTACTAAAGAACATCAAGAGTTAAATAATGACGATAATCAAGTACAGATTCACGTTCCAGTTTCAACAGTAGAATATACATCTGCTGCGTCGAAAAAATTTATTAAAGATATAGAGAATGCACTTGAGATTTCTGACAAAACTGAACAAGAGAAGATGCTAACAAAACATTTTAATTATTATGGTAATTACGTAGTCAGAAAGTTCACACTTGGTGGTGTTATCACAATTGGAAATTGGTTAAACGCATCTAATAGAGAAAAATCATATTTAAAGAGCTATATACAGTGGGGAATCGATTGTGGAAAAGGGAAAGCCACCGAAATTTTTGAAGATGTACCACTTGACACCATACCGCCACTTCAAGCTGATGGCGAGATGGATACCCTTGGTGACTTATATAATTGGTTTAAAAGCTTATATGGCCTTGATTTTGCCAAGGTTATAGCATATGGAAAAATAATCCCATCTTATAAATTACTACCGGCTACATTGCAAAAAAAATTACTTGAGATTACTGGTTGTGATCCTGTTGAAGCGCCCGATGGCGAATTAATTCCTAATGTTCCAATTCAATACGAAAGAAAGGAACTTGCGCAATGGATAGCATTAAAACCTCCGCTTGAATTATTTTTATTGGATTTTGTTCACCATAATTCACTTCAATATGGTGTGATTCTACAAAAATCAGATCTTGGACACGCAAAAAAGGCTGCTTTTAAGTTTCTGAGGATACCTACCGTTACTGAAATTAAAAAGGTCACTCTTTCATTAACAGAAACACGAAATCGTCAAGACGCCTATTTATTGGAAAATGGCATAGTTTTAAAAGATGAAGATAACTTAGATCTTGATAATATCCCTTTCGCTGCATACAGTTCAATGCTTAATCATCCCTTGGAGGATTTCAAATCTGCTAAAAATCAAGCTTTTCAGGCAATTTATTGTCAAATAACTGTTCATATGGCAAAACTTTCTTTTAACCTTGCGGATATCAAATCTTTACAGGAATATTCAAATAGTGTCAATACGGCTCTTCAAAGTAATGAGCCATTTAAAAGTATTTGTAAATTATTCGGAGATGATTATGGCCATTTATTATCAAGGACTTTGACTGTAGGTGGAATTTTATCGAAAAAATGTGTTCTACGTACAAAAAAAAATTTACCTGAAGGAAAAATTGAATATGAATTTGAAATGAACGATCCTCAAATAATTGATAAAATTAATTTTCAATTGAAAAAATGGGAAAAAGACTTTGAAGTGAACACTTCATTTTTAATTGGCAATAATGGTGATATTGTTAGCCGCGATGGGATTAAACCTTGGCTTGAATATTTCCAGGATTTGACTATTAATGCATCCCGAAATTGGAGTATTGTTGCTTATGAAGACTGGACACCGCTATACAAAATTTTGCGAAGAACAAGCGCCACAATTGATAGTACCTTTGGTCAATATCAGATTATTTTTAGTGGAGAAGAGTTATTCCAGATGGATGATCAGAAAACCTTCATTATTAGATTCCCAGGTTCACTTATTGACAATAATTATCATATTTTTGGAGGCGTCGTAAAGAAAGTCGAACATGGAAATATTGAAAATGGAAATTGGATAAGATACCAACATCCTGACTTATCTGTTCGATTCGATCATCAAAATAAAAGCAGTTGTGTCGCGCATATATATAAATCTAAGAATTTCAATACACAGTATGTATTTAGAATTATATTATATTTTATTTGTTTTAATTCTTTATTAATTTTATGAATTATTTATCAAAGACTAAACAGAGAAGATACAAGATTACTGTGGTTCGTGCTTGCTGATCCAAGAGGATTTTGTAGCAATAAAAATAGAAATCTTAAAGTTCTCTATGGAAGTCACTCCGTCAATGAAACTCCATTTGAAGTAACTTTAAAATGTAGAGATCTTGCATCGAATTGTGTTTTGATGACGTCAATTGTATCAAAAGACGAAACTGCCTTTTATACTATTAAACCTAAAGCTTGGGCAAAAACTAAAATTTTTCTAGAAATAACAAAAGATCCAATAAGTGATGATTATGATACAGAAGGAATTGTTGATGTATTTGATGATGATGGATTTGATGATAAAGATTCTGATAATGGTATTGATGAACCTGAAGATGAAGTAGAGCAAGCAACTGTTCTCAAGTGGTGCATAGTCTACACTGACGAAAGAAAACCTATGGTTAGTGAGACTAGTAATTTACGGATACATCATTGGAACTCATTTGGAGAATATCTTGATGATGGTATAGAATGCTTGGAGGAAGCAGATGAAGATGTACTTGACATGCAATCTGGAATACCGTTAGAAGAAGCAATGGATCAACATAATTTAAATGAAGGTAGATTGTTTGAAGCTTGGAAGACGTTCATAAATTGTGCTAGGAAAGGAAATCAAGTTGCACTTTATTGGATTGGATTTTACCTCCAATATGATATTTTATCAGCTTCTAAATCTTATTTAAGAAGATTTTATGACGAAGCTATTGACGAATTTGCGGAAGGTGCTGAATCAAATTTACAAGCTGCAATGATGCTCTATAAAAAATCGGCAGATGCCGAATATCCTGAAGCGCAATTAAGGTACGGTTTTGGCCTCTATTCGGGACAAGGAGTCCTGCAAGATCGGGAGAATGCCATTCATTATTTTAGATTATCTGCATTGAATAAGAATCACACTGCAATGTATAACTTGGGAATTATTTTGATACTGGGTGGGAACGAACCAGATAAAGCCGAAGGAGAGAGATGGCTGAGAGAGGCTGCCAGAAATAATCATCAAAGAGCTATAGAAGTCTGCAGAGAGCACCACATTGAATTTTAGTTAAAACTTTTATTTTAATTTCTTTAAATTCTTTTAATAAGATAATTCATATGATTGGTGATATGTAATTTCTCATAACTTATAGTTTATTCATTTGTATACAATAATAAATATGTTGAGATTACCTTTATTATGTATTAAAAATATGTAAGAACAACTTCTTATATTGGTTGTTTAACAAACATTTTATGGTAATAAAAATAAACATTTAAATATATCAGAAATTCAAAAAAAAGTGACCAACAAGATTGGTTTAGAAATGAATGCATAACATTGAATATTTTGATTGCATTAACGCTAAGTTTTTTGACCTTTTCTGTCCAACAACGTTATTTTAGCTAGATAGCTGCACAATATGATCGAGCTTAAGCCATATAACATAAAATGATATCAGTAAAAAAGCATGATTGTTTCTATGAAAAAACCAGTAAGCACGATTTATGCCGAAATTAAACTCAGAATATTTGATTAAAATTTTTAAGTTTAAGCTCAACAGTTTGAAAATTAAATTCGTATTTATTGGTATTCTCTTGGTAACTATATTTTTTGGCTTCTGTATTAGTTCGAGGGAAATACACAAGAAACTATGTTTAAGAATATTTTCATGCTGCACGCTCGATGGGATTAGCTAGTAATTGTGGTGGTGTTCAACCATTATAATGAATTTGTTGTTAAAAACCAATAGAATGAATAATAATATAATTGAATTGTTCTTGATATCTTCTCTATTGAACAATTTATGATTGTGTCAATGATTAAATATTGCTATGTATTTTCTGTTGTATCAATAAGTTGTATGCCATTATTTATTTTTAGTTTGGTTAAATCTTCTCTGTACCTACTATGTTTGATCAGAAATATAGACTAGAGATTTATTTATTTAAGAGCTTGGTTACAATTGTCTAAGTTTCTATATATAATTACACTAATGCTTGTTGCTTTTAATCTTTTATATAGAAGTTTGCAGTTTGTTTGTTATTCTTTTTATAAGTCTTGTTATCTGCAGCATATAAACCAATTTTGAAATTATGTATAGATTATTTAGCATATTCCAAATCATAGATGCTTGATAATATTGGTAATAATTTGGATAGATACTTTTTTATAAATTTGCTTACAATTTTAAGCTTAGTTTTTACAGCTATAAAGGGTTCTATATTTTGCTATGTATATTTGATCTAACAAGACTCTAAAATATACATAGATAGATCAGGTTTAAGTTTGCTTGCTTTTGATCTTTTTAGTATAAATTATTTTATATGCAACATATTTTCTCATTCCTGGTAGAGGTGGATCTGTGAATATCCATGAATAAAAATGAATAATCAGTTAAGAGCAAATATTTGGCTAAAGTAGTCGTAAATATTCAATGAATATTAAATATAACCAGAACATTACTAAATTTTGATAATATTCTATTCAATGATATCCATGGATATTCATACAAAATCTAGTTATTCATTTAATACCATTTGTGAATGACTAAAACCTGGAAATATTCAATGAATAGTCACAAGGACATTCAAAAATCCCAGCTCTAATTTCTGGTTTCGCACAACTGCATTGTACAGCTACTTATAATGATAAAAAATTGCAATATCGTAAATTATATAGAGTTAAGCATGTGTTTGATTTTATTGAATAATCAGCCACAAATTGTACAACCCAATAGCACTATAATATATACTAATTGTAATGCTTAAACATCTTCTGTTCCTCGTTTCGCATGAAAATGTTGTACAGCTATCTTATTTACTATAAAAGCCTATTCATTTAAGATCCGGTAGTTTGAATATAAATATATAAAATGTTTATACAAAATTATAGATTACTATTACTATATTCATCTCTACCTCTTTAAGCAACTCAAGCACCTAGTTTATTAATTAAAAGTTCTGAGAAAGCAGAATAAGATTTCACAGTACTATTTTTAAATTTATGCTAATAAAACACAACAAAGATTTCTGTTAACAGAAATTAATATCAAAAAATAATAAACATTGTCCAATAAAGAAAATAATTACTAGCCAGAATCCTGATAATTTAAGCCTGAAGGTATCACCAGTAATGTTACCAAGAATATAATGTGTTCCTATAAGATGAGTTGTTGCAATTAAGTAAATAAATATACATGTGGCAATCTCGACAATCTTTTTCTTTACATATGGTCTACATATAAGAAAACTGAATGCCGCATATAAAAAAACATAAAATGATTAACTGCATATTGCGTATATTCTAGTCTAATTATCAATGCAGTCAAACCAACCCAACCAGCAAGACCTAGCAAAATTGCAAAAACAAAACCAACAATCATGTAAAACATGTCGCGACCTAGTTTGACAGCTATTGAAGATGCCATCTCATTATTTAACATTTTTGATGCCCACGGAGAGAGTGCCCAATAGCTAAAACTATTAATATCTATTCCTCATGACAAAGAACACAAGTAGTAATGGTCAGTCCAATAATTATAGCAAATCTGATAAAAGCAAAGCTTTTGCTTTGGGACAGTAGATAATTACGATATAAAAAAAGAGTACCTATAAATGAAAAGCACCAGCATACTATTCCAAATTTGCTATATGGCAATTTATAATATGATTCTATTTTTTTTGAAATTCAAAACAAATATTAATAAAAATTTTGGTTTTTTTTTATATAAGTTGTGCTCCAGATATTTATCAGCCTAAGAGTAAGGATTATAGCATAATTTAGGCTAATCAATTCTGATCAATTAACATTAATGCAGACAAAAATTGTCATCTAAACAAATTGATACCTGAGGCACAAAATATATAAATATTTGCTTCGATTAAAATAATACCAGCTATAGTCAACGTTAGTGAAGATAAACTCTGAATTTCAGTAGTAATCCAGGTGTAGTTTCTTATATTAAGGATATAAATGCTGCTACTTTTCGTTGAGTTTATTGTAATCAAACCTTAATGTATAAATATTTATTTCAGCGATCATTTTATAGAATAATAAAATAATACGTAATAGAGTAATCACCAAATACAACAATCATATATTTTTGTATATCGCTGTGGAATGAAATGCTAGTGATAGAGGTGCATTTTTTTGGAAATACTTGGTATAGACCAGTCCCATATATTTATATTTAATACCACAACATCAGGAGATACCTGCGTAATATTGCTTGTTGAACCTCTGTAAATAATAATATACCTATTTTGAGCTAATAAATATTTTTATATTTAACTAAATAGATATACTATCATTTATTTTTAATAATAATATATACTTAAGACTGCCGTATAACCCATACGATCATTAATACATTCACCAGTAGTTTACTAAGTGGTGAAATTTAGTTTATATTAACAAATATTGTATTAATGTAAATTATACATACTTTAGTAGACCGGATAAAAGATTTCGTGTTAAATAGTTGAATCTGTGTATAGAATTAATCAAATGAAAAATTAAATACTAAAATATATATAATTAGTGTATAAAAATTATATCAATTGAACTATACTGTTTTAATAATAACTAGATTTATAATTCTAAGTGAAGATTTTTCAACTCCCACCAATGTAATTATTTCAGCAGTTAGCAATAATATAGCAGCATAAGCGGTATGAGGAAGAAGAACATTTTTTGATATCCTTAATGTTGACCATTTCATAGTAGAAATATTAAACACATTTATATCATTATAATAAGTGACTATTTTAGTAAGATTATTACTACTAATGTTATAATTTCTTCCTCTAAATATAAAATATTTCCATTATTATCAATAACTGCCTGCATATATAAACGCGTTGTAAAAGAATTATTATAACGATTGATAGTTGATATTTTCTAATTTGAAGTTTTAGAATCAAATACTTATAATTCTAAGGATAGAATAGATTTGTTGTATTGGTAGGATAGAACATTATTCTACCAATTAAAAAAACTGTAGAATTATCAATAGGACTAACACATAAAGAAGCAGTATCAATTGCTACATCCATTTATAGATCTTCATACCATATTATTGTGTCATTAAATAAATTTGATAAATCAATATACATACTTCATTTTTATTATTTATTATTTTAGCATCGCCAAAAAAATATAACTTGTCATTAACTAACGAAGCAGTCTGACTACTTCTTGGAACAGAAAAATCATCGCAAATTACAGAAAAAGTTACATAACTTATTATAAGAAAACAATAAAAGTTATGAATATAATTCATATTATTAAGCATTATATCTTCCTTTTTTTGATAATAAACTAAATTTGACTTGAGAAATTTTTCTTCATATATTATTTTGCACACAGCAAATTAGAGTTACAAACTTCAATGCAAATGGTGCATATGTATATATGTACGTACAAATTAAGAAGCTTGCAGAATTTTAGAATGAACTTTCTAATTAAGTTAATACTGATGTATACCACCAGGGATGCATAATTTACTTAAGTTATTTAAACTGATGGTAAGTTAAATTCTAACTGACACTATGAATTTAGTATTCCTAATGCTATCCAAAATTAATCTCAAAGTTGGCCTACATTAACATTATATATTTGTAACTTACATAAAGCTATCTAACTTAAAATGTAAGTTATATTGTCAGATAAGTTATCCCAACCCTGCATACCACAAATGTGTTTACACAGGATTGTACTCGAGATAATAGTGTGATATTTTGATAATATTCTGACAATAACTTAGTTGATTTTTCTAGATTACTAAAATATAATCTTAAATATACAGTATCAGAAATGGTGATGATAAGAATAAAAGTGACAACTCTAATGATTTATATTATAAAGTTTAATTTTTGCTTTTTATTTACTTTATTTATATCTTTGTTGTTTTGTGCTGTATTAAAGACAAGAAGAACAAAATTCCACTGATTTGCAGGTTTTATAGCGCAAATTATATAAATAAAATATAAAAAATTATATTAGCTTATACCAACTCATACCAATAATTAATAATCAACCTGAATTTATATGTGGATATTAATAGC